TGGGGGTGGACCGTCACCACGATGACCGGGGGGGGCGTGAGGACGGCAGGTGTGTGTGTGTCGCGGGAGATTGTTGCAGCTTTGTGAACCTTTGTTGTTTGCGGAACACAATGCGCAATATATTTGGTTGATGAAAATGACTCCTTCGTTTAGCTCTAAAAACCAAAGTCGGGAGTGCTCGTGTGCTCGTAATTTGTCTTTTGACGGCGGCGGACCACACTTCTATATGCCACTCTAGGAAGGAAAGACGCAACTGTTCTTGGCTAAGTGGCGGGATACCTGTCGATAGGACATGCCAGGTAGTACGGTAGTACGGACGTGGACAGGTGTGTTAAAGATTGGGGCAAGAGCAGCAGAAGCGATACGCACGTACGGCGAGAACAAGTACAACCGGAACCACCCTTTCTCGCACGCTGTATAGGTGGGCTGGACCGCAGACGACCCACTGTACTTAAAGGCTGAGACAGACCCTCTGCTTAGATTTCCTGGGTGAAACGAAAGGTTCTGCGCGCTTCCCGGCCTCCCCTGCGCTCCGTGCTTGCATCAAGGCATGCCTGGTCAGCGATGCCCCGTTATTCGCGCCCCAATCCAGCCGTGAAAAATACGCTGCGCAGTAAGGGTTATGTGCGGGGTCGAGAACCCTCATTCCGCCGCAAGGGGGATGACCGCACCACGTTGTGTTAAATTTGGTCAAGCACCCTCGAGGCAGTTACACAGTGTTTGCAACTGTCTCTGGAAGTGAAAGCACCAGAAAATAAATTAAGTCATACGCGGCTGTCATCCGTACGCAAGGAAGTAAGCACAAGATGCCGAACACCCTTAGCAGGATGCAGCGCACCCTTCAGGCGACTCGCCGAATACCTCACGGCGCTTCGCGCTTGGTGATGTGAGAGCCTGGTCCGGTGAGAACCCGGCGTGCTCCGTCCCGGCTTTGTAGGGATGCGAGGTCAATGGTCTAACGACTACGGCATGCACGACTTTGAGTACCCCCCCCCCTCAACCCCCCCCCCTCCTCTGAGCGCTTGTGAACGGTCTGTTGTGTTTGCATGCGACTCACACCTCTCAACGTTGCTGCTGCTGTTTCTGCCGCCATTGCGCCGCCGCCGCCACCGCTGCTGCTGCTCTGGAAGATTGGACCGCCGACGGCCAGCAGTGCAGCGCAGGGTGGAGCCCCCAGTCGACCTCACTCCCTTCGACAGCGTGCGCCAGGGTCTGGCGGACAACAACACGGTGGGGTGGAGCCTCGCGCCAACGTCGATCGAGCTTGCGACGAAGATCTACCCGCACCCGCGGGCCATCGGTTTCTTGAGCGACTTTTTGCACCAGGTCACCGGCATCATGCTTGACCAGGTGGGTTGGGTTACATGGGCTTAGGTCGGGACGGGATTCATTGTACATGCCTCAAAAAGGTGTCTGGGATCGAGAGTTCGTGGGTGCAGGCAGCAAGCAGCGCGGGTTCGGTGTGGCACATGTGTTGGTGCATCGTGCCGAGCCTCAACACGAAGGCGAGCAAGAGTTATGTAAACCGTGGCCATGAAAACTTTGGTACGTACAGGAACGAGGCTCACATGCGCGGTCGACTAGTTACGGTTTCGGTCTGTCTCAAGGCAAGGAAGATGAGCTACATCCGCCCCGGCTCTCTACCCCCTCCGCACGTACCAGTATAGTAGTGCCCTCGCCGTTAATTTGTCTTGCTTCGTGAGTTTTCGAGGATGGGATCTGAGCGCGTGTTTGTTTATGTTTAATATGTAAATCCCTCCTGTTCCACCCCACCGGTACGAGCAAAAACCCATCGCTTCTTGTTTCGAACGGTGTGCCGCCTCACCCTTCACTTCTACGCTGAGGAGAAATTATGACCGGCTTCAGAGCCTAGCCGGGGGTTAGCCCCTGCCTGGTGTCCTTGTATGTCTTTCTCCATGTCATCCTATCCTGTGTTTCTTCGCTTGAACGGCAACACAAATTCCCTGGCCTCTAAATGTTGTGGCAGCAACAGGATCGGGGCATTGCCGCCGTCATATATGGTATATATTTTCCTTATTCGGGAGGTGACATATGGCAGAACGTAGTCACGAATCAGTTTTCCTTGACGAGGTTTGCTGAATCTTACTTCTCGCCTCAATCTGAACGGCTTGTTCGTACACGGGTGTTGTTTGTGTCGTGCGTTCTGTCATGGACGGCCCCGTCCGGGTCCCTCCCTCTTTCCCGAGAAACGCTCTTTTTCACCTCCCCCCGGTTTAGCACAGAACCCAAGGGTGATGACCAACTTCTGGCTCATCCTTATGAAACGTAGCCTAGGCTGGCGAAAGCCCGGCATATCGCATCGCTCCGTCATTTTAGGGATGCGAATTCAATGGTCCCACGAATTCGGCATGCGTTTGCATAAGGAACCCCTCCCCCTCCCCCCCCCCCCCCCCCCCC